TATTGCGAAGGAATCTCTACTTGAGGACAACAAGGATTTTCTTTTTGTGCAATTTAAAGTGCCATTATAGCAGTCCTTTTGTACTACTGTAATAAATAATATTAATATTCATTTAAAAAAAATATTTCAATCACATATTTTAACGTCAATATGCAAGAGTATCTCATATTTATTATTTTTAACTTTTACCGATATACGTGGGTAAATTTATACATTTACCGGCAAAAGATATTTGACGCTGCTATGAGATGTATACTTACATTTACGTATTGTATTTTTACCGTAACATATACAAAAGCAAACTATATCCATTAGTCGAGATATAATATTCAGCAGTCAAGATAAACTATTCGGTAATACTCAAATGCAAACAAAAAATCATTTATACCCACCGTAATGGGTTTTAGTGAGTGCGAACCCGGCGCATCCGCCAAAACTCTTATGATGTTCATTTGCATCCGCGCTTCATATCGATTCCACCTAATCCAGTTTTCATTTGATTTCCGTAAATCCAAACAAGATGATACACAAAACTTTATTTTCTATTGAAAGCATCAACCTAAACAATGGGTGTACGCGAGATAACTGAAAGCTCACCCAAGCTGAATTGACGGCATCAGAGATACAATACATATAAGTTCACGGAGCTTCCATTTTCCGTCCGAAGACGCACGGATTATGTTCATTCGAAAAATGATTGGCATGTTTCAGTCGGCCGGAAAACGGTGGCCGGAAGTGATGTGGGCAATTAAAATCGGAGCAAAAATCGACCCACCCCCAATCGGGGGGATTTTAATTAAAATTGATTGAATTTTGGGACAGCGCGGACGATCCGAGCACACATGCACATTTGTAATTGGAAAAGTTTTTGTCAGAAACTGTAAGAATTTTTTCGCAACGATTTTTTATTTTTATTTTTTTCTTTTATGTTTTTGCTTCTTCCTGCAATGTTTTCATACTCTATTTCTGCGGAACCTTCGCTTGCGGCAGGATGAAGCCAAACCGGTTTTATTGCCTCGCTGCACTCAGGCCAGGATTTATTTGTTAGTTTTCTTTTGCGGAAATGCTCGCAGCATTAACGCCATTTCCCTTACGAATAAATGTAGTTGAAAGTATTCGATATATCGAGCTCTCGCTATTTATGGATACAGCGTACGTAACATCAAAGAGAAATATCTTTCGTGTTACGTAATATTTGGAACTAGATAATATTGAATTACCGGGTTTTATCCAAAATACCCGACAATGTTATAGTATTTCTATAGATATTTTTATAATAAATACAAATATTTTCAAGAGTTTATGTAAAGAAATATAAATTTATTATTTAAACATCTAAACCATGTTGTTTCTCAACATTTTTGATTTAATAACTCAAATGAACTAATATTAATTTTTGCAATTATTAACATATATTAATTAAAGCACATACTATATATAATATAATAATTAATTTTCTTGTGTAATTAACAATTAACATTTATACTGTTATATCAAATTATATAATTAATTACACACAAAAACGTACAAAATATGCATCATAGCATCAGTGCATTTATGAAATTAGTTATAGACTATTAAAATTTAAAAAAATATGTTTTATGCATTAATCAATATATACTATTAATTAAATTTTACTGAAACTATAATTTTTGCATCATTTGTAACTTACTGGTTTTTATTACTTATTACAAAAATAAGTTAATATCAATTACAAAAATAATAAATATAAAAGTTTCTACGAAAAAACACAGATATATGCAAGTTATGCAATTCTATTTCGCTTTATATAAGGAATTATTTTGTGTTTAATATTAAATAATATAATAAATATTATCTCTACATATTTTGTTTATCCTTGACCTGTAACTTCAACGAACATAGGTACGTCCTATGGGTCTTTTTTTTAATAGAACAAATTAGTATTTTTTACAATAAGCACTGATTAATTCTTATTATTAATTTAATATCATTTAAAACTGATTTTATTGTTCAAAAGAGTTTTGGTACATTTCTTTTGAACAAGTACAACAAATAGGTATGTTGCAAATGTCACAAAACGTTGCTGTTTTCTTGTCGCTCTTGCTTGAACAAAAAAAAATACCTCTTCCTTTTGAATGTACGAATGTGTTCATTAGGTTGTGTTTCAACAAGCATTTTATCGTGCATTATATTTTCAATCAGTACTCTAATATTTTGGGGAATCTTTTGGTTGCACATTCAATATTTTTTTTATCAATAGAATTGCAGCCACATCTGTTTTAAACTCCTTATAGAAATGTATAATATTTTTTTGGATTTTCATTCACAGTATTAGTGTGGTGTATAATGAATATCAGGATTACTCATTACCTAAGAATTCAAAGTTATTCCACTTTAAAATCCAAATATTGATGATATTTCACTAACGTATTTGCTATAGACGGGTCATTTTGACCCGAAATACACTCCAAATAAATATCTATCGACGCGACTGCTTTGCTCCTAGTGTTAAGTGCACTAGAAAACACTAAAATAGCTAGAAGGTTACCATTAAAATCACAATGTAATGTGAATAAAAACAAATATAAGATGGGTCACTCTGACCCATCCGTTGTACGTACAGGCTAACAGTTGTCTTATTTAAAATTAGTTATTATCATCATCATAATTGATTTATTATACAAAAGAGATAAAATAGATAATAAACCAGTAACTAAATTATTACGACTAGACATTTCCTAATTTCTCATCGTATTTCATCCAATGAATCTTCATGTCTTACAGCGCTCAGTCCTTTGTGCAAGTGTCCGATTCGCACAATACTCCCATTCATCCTTATCTTGTTCACACCACGTACACGTACCTCTTCAGTTGTAATAGACCCAAACTTTACAATAGATACCAATTGTTGAACCTAATAAACATTGGTTAGCTTCCATTCATGTCGCCTTCCACGAACGATTTTTATTCGTCTCATCAACTTATATACAAAGTTACTTATAAATCATGAAATATCTATTTAAAATTATAATACTGCATATATTACAATTTACAGTGAAGAAACGTATATCGCAAATTTTACTTGTATAGATCAAGTAGTTTCAAAAACCTTAGAGTTAATTAAATATACAGATTCAAAATGTATTATACAAATCAATTTTCAAAACTAATTATTGATAATTTATTAAATAAGTTTGAAATGTCATACATTTTCGAAGATCCCACATTAATCATCCTTATATCAATTGTAATTGGTTATTTTAATTTATGGTCCGTGTTTGCCAATTTACAAACATTGGGTTAAGCGCAAACATATTTTATGACAAAGATAGGGTTGGTCCTATATCATCTATATTAATGTATGTATTACAAACTTTGCTAAAATACATTATTTCATTTTAACCATAAAGTTGATCAATTTGTATATGTGTATTTTCTTCAATTAGTTCTGCAGGTTAACTATTATTTATTAACAGATAAATTTTATTATTTACTTAAAAAAATATTTATTTTTTCCATGTCCTGATTTACAATAGTTGTGTGACAAGTAACTTGTCGACATGTTAATTAATCATCTATTTTAACAAAATATCCGCGGAAATTAAATTTTCTGTAAACTATATCTTAAAAAAATTCACAACAAATTTAATTTAAATTGACAAAATAAAAATTAATACTACAAGATTAGAAAACAAAATTGTTTTTATTTCCATTAATTATCTTGTTTCAAATACTTAAAGACTTAATTTAATTAACCGTTTTCTACTTAACTTGTTAATAAAACATTCATTTTAAGGCTGTCAACTTTTTCCATAGGAAATTCATAAAATGGACTAAATAATATTATCATAAATATTCTTTTGTCACAGTTATGTGCTTCCATTGTGCTGTTGTATTATCTTCTATTAGTTCATGGACCATATATACTATAGAGTCTATAGATAGGTTCATACATGTATTAATAATGTAATATCCATTAGCTGCTCGAATCACGTTAGTGTAAATCAATACAACTTATGTATTAGCTATAAAAGATGATATAATAAATAGTACAAATAATTAAGTAACCATTTATGTACAGTCAACCTTCTTATACCGCGAGGAATAGCTACCGAGGATATGGAATTCGAATGTTTCAATTATTGACCTCAATTTGTCTTCATTTAAAGTATAAATTCTAAAGTCTCTTCACGAAATAGTTTGTATACTAATTAAATTGTATTATATAAAAAAAGGGCGTTAGAAGAGAACCACGTTATTTTTATTCCGTTTTATATATAAACCGCTTTATGATAGTATTACGTTAAAGTAGGATCAATTGTAATAGTTAAAAATGAATTTTGATTGAAATCTAAAATTTAATTGTCATATTCAATCAACGAAATATTAATATTATCTAAACAATGCATTTCGATTTATTAAAAATGTAAATTTTACCAAATCTAACTTGATTAATTCATAATATGATTTTTATGTCCAAAGTTGTAATTAAACGAATTTGTAAAAGTTTAATTAAAACTAATAGTTTCTGTCCTTAATATATTTTTTTCTTTTAGTTATTTTGATAGCAGCTGTTAGGTGAAAGTCAATAGTTTCACTTATATGTAAAATAAAATTAATAATTTGTATAACAAAATACATAAAGATAATTGTAACAATTGCAAGAGTTCAAATTATTCAAAATTCGTACATACTGAAATAAAACTTTGACAAATTGAAGGTTGATATCTATCATTGTAGAAATTGATTGTCATATTTAGTTGCCTTAATATATAAGAGCTAGAAACAAGATTTCAATGGAATACGTATTAATTGCAATGAGTTGTAATTTATGGGGTGAATTTTGGGACATTGTTTCCCAGGTGTTCTGTGCCTTGGCCTTAGGGGTTGCCTGGCAAATCGATTTTGGAATTGACGTTTCGGCGAAATTAATTGTCCAGTTGTTGTTGCATCTATATGGGAATATATATGTATACAGTGAATCACCGATTAATAATGGATCCACATTTTGATTGCAGGCATCTCTTCCGTTTCCGGTTTCGGATGTCGGACAAAGCAAACAGTGCGGTCATGGCTTCGGGGCAGTCGCAGCCCCACAACAAGCGCCCAACCATCCTAATATACCCGACAGGTGTGATAAATCGTTTAACTCTTTGAGGGGCCAGAAATTCCAAAATTTCTAGACCCAACTAATTTCTAGACAACTGAATCATACAGCTACGTCAACTGAATCAACATCGGATGGTATGGCCTATCAAGATTCATCCTTTGACAAACCAGTCAAATTAAAGGATAATTTCTCTTTGCTGGACATTAAAAAATGCCCCACTAGGCATGTTCAACAGTGGGACACTATCACCGCTCCTCAAAGAGTTAAAAAATTAACCAGAAACGAACACTCAACATCTTAAATATATCTCTTTTATGTTTTTAGTATCTCCAGAAACGGTAGTTGTTCCGATAATCTCCTGCATCCTGGGATTTCCGCTGCTCGCGCTGCTCGTCATCTGCTGCCTACGAAGAAGAGCGAAATTGGCCAGAGAACAAGCGAGAAGACGGAACTATGACTACGATCACGGTACTTTCTCTATTGTCAGATACAGCCCAATACACTCACTAGGTAACTAAGATACCACCACCCCCCAAACAAACTAAACTTTTTTTTATTTCTTTTTTTTTTTTGATATAAAACACGCATAACCGGAAATATTTTTTCACCCTAAAAAGTGTGAAAAAATAAAATTGCAGAGGCGCGAAACGCATATTTAATTATAAAATTCTCGGTAGGGGAGTGCGATTTAACTCCAGCAGTCGCAATTACCGTTCCGTGTTTTACGGCCGCATCGCTGAGGGCTTAAAACATGGTCGAAAATAAAAAAAAGTGGAATTAGAGTGAAAGAGAGAGCACGTAAAACTTGTCCACATTTACACTCCCAGGGGGATGGAAAGGGCCAAAATCAGTACGTTCGGGTAGGGATAAAAAAAAGGGTATCCTACAGTAAAAATAGCAGCCCCAATCAGGGCTGTCAATAAAACCTGTACACCGGGGATTTTATTAGCGGTCATCTACAACCCTTTTCTTTTCTAATTCACAAACACCGCATTTTTTTCGGTCCATTCCCTCTATTGAATGAAATTTCAGCAAATTAGTGGTATGCTTGAACATCGTGGTTTAATTTACTAGACTTTTTTTTATTAAAAAGTATAATGGATGAAATGTAATTATTTTTATATTAAATATATTCGTGAAAAGTGTCAAATTTTGAGGCTATTATACAAATTAACGTTGCAATACCTCCAATAGTACAGGACTGTTTAAAACCGGATTATGCAAGGTATTGTTTTACTTAACGACGATTACAGTAACTTCTTAATACATTAAATAATTAAACAATATACTGTCAAGTATCACTTTCCTAATAACTTATTTAGAAATCAAATAGTGATCCATTTCAAGACTAGGTCAATACTGCTTTGTAATACATGTATATGTGATAATTATCTTCTTACACATCACATAGACTAAGGTAGAATAAGTAAACTACTACTTCTATAAAAAAAAAATGAATAAATGCTTAACAACATTTAGCATTATATTGATCACGTACATACCAAGTAACTGGTTCGTAAATCAATTTTAAAGCTATTGCAAATTATGCAACACATGTCAAGTAACTTCTCATGTATATTATAATGAATTACTAGATTAAGAATACAATTAACACGTATAATTTCCAAGTAACTAATAAACAAGTACTGTTTATTCCGTTATAATATTATTTTTAAGGGGTATTATGCAACGCTACACTTACCAACTATATACTAGTATGCTTATGTGACTTGTAATTAACTACAATTAAAATAAATATAATTGACAAGTACATGCGGTTGCCTTGTTAATTGAGAATAATATAACGTACTAATTATAGAAATAGTCTATACCCATTCATTATCATCAAGTAGCACAGTATGTTATTTACAGTCACTTTTCTACTTACGATCATTCGCACTAATGCTACATCAAAAAGTACATTACTTTCATTCTCAAACATTATTCGCTTTAATACTAATTCAGTGATTTCAGCAACTCAATAACATATAAAGAATACAACATGAATTACAAAAATCTATGAGAAATAAAATTTCTATTTTTAGCCGAATCATAGGTTTTTCATGCTTAATCTGATGAGATCTTAATCCAATGCTTTTATTAAAATAAAAGAATAATTATTGAAATTTTTGGCTTTAATTTTATGCAGTAACTGGTTAATACTTCTGTAATACTATTTTTTTAATTTTTCAAGCACATTTACAATAATTCTACATAAAGTCCTCAACAAAATATAGCTTTAGTTTTTCAAGTGATTTATTCATTAATATTTTATTAATAATTGCGAAAAAAAGTAAAATATAATATGATATTATACTTTTTTCCGTGTGACCCAACATATTTGTTAGTAGTTGCTAAGTGTATTTCACTAGATTCTGGCTTTGATACAAGGTAACAGCACTCACAGCAATGTCGCAACCCAAAGGTTAAGAAACAATGTGTTACGCAACAAGCTTTAATACATTTTCTAGTATTATTTTTTTTTATATAGGTTACGTATCAAGTATGGTTAACACAATAAAATATACAAATACATCAACTTTTCATAATATTTGTGAAGTATGTAGTGCAGTATTTTGTATAATTATACTATATTCTACCCTTGAGATTATTATCAACCCGGAATATCAATCATTATTGCATAAATATGATTTCTGATCAGAAATGACAAATTTACAAAAGTCATATTAACAAATCGTTAGAATGCTTGATTCACCTATGCTTAACATACTCATAATAATACTCATCATGGAAACCTGTCAATTGTATGTATTAATAGGAATAATCTAAAGCAATAACATTAGTTTTCTTGCGAGTGAGTGTTTTTGTACAAAATTCAAACAAATCATTGGGAATGCTCGAACTTATCAACACCTAAAATCAGTCATTATTGCATAAATAAATATGATTTATAAACAGAAATCTCATCTTTATAAGTCGTTAGTATAATTGAATTCACTTATAAAAATACTCATCAATGAAATCTGTCCATTGTATGTTTTAATGGGAATAATCCAAATCCCGTTCATTCTTTAATACCAATAATATTAGTTTTCTTGTGATTGAGTATTTTTGTACAAAATTCAAACAAATCATTGGGAATGCTCGAACTTATTAACCCCGAAAATCCGTAATTATTGCATAAATGTATATGATTTATAAACAAAAATGTCAAATTGATAAGTCGTTAGTATAATTGAATTCACTTACAATAATACTCATCAATGAATCCTGTCCATTGTAGGTTTTGTTAGCTATAATCTAAAGCTCTTTCATTCTTTGATACCAAAAATATTACTTTTTTTTTCATTCCCTTTGTACGAAATTCGAACAAATCATTTAGAATGCTCGATAACGATTCATTTTGTTGTTACATGGACGTTGAACTTTTTTTTAGAACGTTATTTTCCCCGCATCCGTTTGATGAATAACAGAAGATTAATCAGATCGAATTCGAAACCGCAAATAGCGGATTATTTACTCTGCCATCTATTTTCTTTTTGGCTTTGAGCCTATTTATTCATTGAAACTTAATACCATAATATATTACTTACCAGAACGACAAAAAAAAATATTTATTCATGCATATCCATTACCTTTTAACGTAATTTAAACGCACCAATTTCAAATAATATTATTTAATTAATCAATTATTAATCTCTATAAATTTCTATAAAATTGTGTTTTCAAATATTATGTATTCAATCCAATTTTTTAAATCATTAATTTCAATATATATATATTGTATTAATTTTGTAGTTACTTTTATGAGAATATGTTTGTAACTAGCAATCAAATAAGTATTTAAAGTTATTTTAAAACTTATTTTAAAAGCATTATACTTGTCCCTAATATATAAAAGTTATCCTGACATGTATATTTGACTCGTGTTGCTCAACTTTAGTAATTTGTGAAAACTTCAAGTAAAATTAATTAATAAAAATCACATTTAAAAAGAAATCTAAGAAAAAAGTTTTTGCATTGAAATCAATGTTTCGATCCGTTTTAAGGCGCTTTAAAATGACCTACTTCGATGAATGGCTGAAGATTAGCGAGACGGAATTCCAAACCGCACATTTAATCCACTCATAACTCAATGCTTCTTGAAATATGATTCATTTATAGTAACTAAATCTCTTTTAATATAAATATCTGCAAAATAAATAAATCGAATTATATATTTTTTTTCATTCATTAAAATATAATTAAATGTAATTTAATTTTCTATCATAATTTCTGCATTTGTGTAATAATAATAATAAAAAGTTATACGCATTGAAGAACTATCGATCATACATTTGCTGAGGTTTTCTGTTGAGTAAAATTCTCAGTTACAGGATGTGCTGGTCGCTCCGAAAACGTCTTCGCTAATCTTAATATAAGAGAGGCCACAGTTTCCACTCCTGTTGAGCTCATACCGAGGGATGTTGGAAGGATTATGCAGAGAATTGATAGGATGTTGAAGTTTAGAGAGGGCTCACAAGAAACTCAAAACTAATTTTAGACATATTAAATATTCTAGCAAATCTTAGTTAATCTATGGTTCACGTATAATTTTATAAATATGAATTGAAGATTAGTATTTTATATTATAGTTAATGTGTGTGTTTATGTGTGTTTTTTTTTAATAACAATAAAAGATAGTGATATCATATCCAATATTATACATAACCAGATTTTTGTTACGAAGAGTCGGAGTGATTATTTTATATATAATAGATTGTAATTTTGGAGGATGAAATCACGTTGTTATAAGACGAGATTTGACAACATTAAAAATGTTTGTCCAATAAACAGTAACATTTAATTATGTGCTTAACATATAATGAAAATACATTATTATTTTGTATATTCAACGCAATGTTTAATAATTTGTTATAATATGTCTTCATTAAAAGAACAGAAATGTTGAAAAGCAGTGATGACAGAAGGGAATTTGGGGATACCCTAAGTGGGATTAATGGATTGTGAAAATGAGCCCTTGAGTATAACGTGTCCACTCATGACTTCAAATTTGAAATGATATCAACAATGGTTTGAAAATTTTAAAACAAATATTTGACAAAATAAAAATAAATTATAAAAAAATATACACAAAATTATTTTTAATACATAACTGATCTATTATTATATACAGTCAAATTATTTTATTGTTTTATTTTAAAGTATTTGATTAGTCCGATTTCAGACAGTCCGGGATATTGGCGGGACAAGTTAACTAACGATCGATTAACTTTCACGTATATTTGTGCAATTATAAATTATGTTTAACGGCACGTAGTTAACCGAACCGGTAAATTGTACAAAAATGAAGGTATTGTCGAAGTAAATCATTTAAGGGAAATTTATGGATTCTCATCGCAATTTTTTTTTTAACTATAATTGATGATGTGACGGACTACTGGGTCTTGTGTATTTCAACCCGTGAAATCATAAATCTCATATACGAAATACACCACAAAAAAAATGAGTTTACATATTTGAAATATTTTGACAGGTCCTATTTGAAAATACATTAAAGTTGTATTAAAAAAAAGAAAGTTAATTAACTAATACGAAAGATATATAACTAATTTACAAATCATTGAAAACTAATTTAATAAATAATCTATAAAATCTTTCAAACTTGGGAAAATCTTTTACTTTTCTGTAGTATCCATTAAACTTAATCAATTATTAGAATAAAAATATTCTAAGGGAAATTATTTTTGAATGTTGTGTTGTGAAACGTTATAGTTGAACATATTACGTAATAGCTAAAAATCATTATCTTTTTTAAATAAATAGCCCACATGACTAAAAACTAGAACTTTCTAATATCAATTACATATAAAAAAATAATAATTAATAAGGAAAATACTTGAAAATACGCATTAACTTGTAAGAGTTAATTGACAAATTGTGATATGTACATTAATTTTAATAATTGTATATTTTTATTTACATTTTTTTTGTTCGATTTTTAAGTACGAAAAAGACTTTTTATAGAACTTCAAGTTGCTTGAACAATTCAAAGTTCAAAGCCTCAATTAACGCTGTTTCAATATAACGTTACCTAGCTTTAAATATATCGATTTATAATAAGTTAATGTGAATTCGTTTAACGCAACTTTAGCACTAAAGAAAGTAACTTTCATGATTATTCTACACAAATATAGGTACATAGGTACAACAATAACTTGACGTTGAGGATTTACTATATGTTTCTGAATTAATGAGTACATTGTTGTTACATACAAATTTGGGGATAAACTGACAATGACATAATGCTTTTGATGTTTAATAGAAGGTGAATAATATGATTTAACTTTGCGAAGGTCGTTCGAGGGCTGTGTCGTTGCGGTCGGAGCGCGGTATGAGCAGAGGATTCCCCTCGATGGAATTGGATACGGTCCTTGAGGAACGCTCCGACCCGGAACCGGAAGCAACCGTCGTCGAGATGATCACACCGGATCAGGAATCCAGGGACAGCTAGCATAAAGAGAAGACCGTTTGTGCGGCAGATAGGTGAACGCTTCCAGAAAATGCCTGAAAGTTTCACGAAATGATCAATGTTTTATATGTATTCTGTTCCATTCTTTGTTGGTAACGTGCAGATCTCCGCTGTGGACGGCCTTAACTCATGCTCACACCCTCGTCATAGACCCGGACAGCTGACCCGAGGACCAGGAGGAACACACCCCGGATCCGGTTATCCCACAAATCATCCCCTTGCCCTTTGTCCGAGGCCATTGAGAGCCCATAGATTAGGTCCCTATTTACTAGACAATACATTACGTTTAACATTAACGTGGTAATACCACTCGCAGGATTCGACCTCATCGGAAGCATATATTTAATTAAAATCATTACGTATTCCATAACTGATCCCGCTCGGGTATGTGTGTATCTGGTTTCCTGCTGCTGCTGTTGGAAAGACCTGCAGCAGTTCGGTTCATATTTGCTCACTTTTCAGAATCCGAGCAACAGTAAATTAAATTTAATGTCCCGGCAGCAACTAAGTTGTGTATGTTTGCGTAAAGCCGAGCGTTACCAAACGCGTCCTGAATAATGAAAAATCCACCTCGGGCTGAGTTTTCTTCAATGAAATGACATGCCTACCCACGCTTTATCCTCAACTTAAAACCATGTACCGTGTATGTTTCCCTCCCAAGAAAAATGTTAAATAAATAAAGTAGAAGAGTAAATGCAAAGTAAACTTTACGAGTTTCCCTCGTAGTTTGGACCAGCTGGATAATATTCGTACTGTAGTTTATTCGTGTACATTTCACTGCATTTCCGTACACATTGTTTATTTAATACATTACACATATCACATATGTAGGATGCTGATCTATTTATTTCGAATCCATTGTTATCGTTTTAACTTGCTTTAAATGTTTATTAACAACTATATAACCATTGATGTGTAACATATGGATGTGTAAATATTCTACTTAGTAAATTGTAATGAATAAATTAAAAGTTAGGAACATAGGTTGTAATTATTGTACAATATATTAAACACTGTGTATTCTAAATATAATTTACGTGTATTATATGTATCATGGACTTAAGCAATTAAAAATTATTTTAATAAATATACTACAGCTATATCCATTTATAAATGACTTTTATTCACAGGTTTACTTCTAGTTTACTTTATTTAAACATACAATATTAAAGAATATTTTCATAAATTTACTACCAGGTTATATAATTATATTTATAAATGTATTTACTGACATTCAAATCATCTGTGCAAGGAAGACATTCAAAGAAATAATAGCTATTACTTAAATACAAAATAATTTTGTATATTGTCTATTTCAAATAATAGAAAATAAACAATTGTTATTAAGTTCTGGCTTAACTATATTTTAATGCTAACATACCTAAATATCATATTGTAAACAAATCATGAGGTTAAGAAACTAAAATAATCATTTTTAATGATTGTCTTTGGAATATTGTTTGTAAATCTGACACTACTGTCACCAAGACCGAAATATGACAAAAAATTAACAGATGTTGGGTGTACCTTATATAATTGTAACATGTCGAAATATAAAGTAATTATCGTCTCATGCTTTGCAACTTGATTTGAATATTGATCCTGAATACGTACAATTGAACTCTCATAATAAAATGTAAAAAAACGTACTTAATAATTATGTTAAGTTGAAATAACTGATGATCGTAAATTAACCGAAAATTTTGTACCATTTAAATAATTCTGTCTCCGAGTCAAAGGCAAGACCAAATTGTAAAATAAATAAATATTAAATGAATTAATACCACAAAATATGATTTTAAAAATAAATGAATATCCTTAGATATACTGCTCAAACAAGTTCTTGTTTTTTGTTTACAAATTTTTCAGAAATAGAAAATTCTCTCTGTTATGCATACAAACGTCGCATTCATCAATAGTGGTCTCTGGCAGTCTCTGGTCTCCTCCTTTAAGGCGTGAGTGGATGTAGGCTTGTTGACATAAACTTCACTTCAAAAAATAGAAGAAAACGAAGTCCAAAGACGTTAAATCGCACAATCTATATCAGTGGTTCCCAACCTTTTTTGTGCCATGCCCCACCAAAACCTTTCTAAAATTCTTGTCCCCTATGTAACATATACATAATACGCCATACGGTTAAAGTCTAGATGTGTAAATTTTCGAATTGCCCCCGTGGGGCCCACATTGAGAAACGCTGATCTAGATTCTAGGCTGACAATTCTGGTCACCCAAACGGGAGATTACACGATCAGGGCGGTGGCAATCGCAAGCCCCACAACCGTCTATAGAAATCCCGACGTTTGAAATCCCGAGTGTATCGAAATCCCGACGTTCGAAATCCCGACTATATCGAAATCCGGACAATGTCAAAATCCCGACTACCATAATCCCGACAATCAAAATCTCGACTATATCAAAATCCCGACAATCTAAAACTTAAGATTATTAATTGTTGTTATTTATTGTTAATAATATAAACTAATTATAATTAATGTTAATAATATAAACTAATTATAATTATAGAATATTTCTTATTCTTAAATTTTATAATGAATAAGTCAACGAAAAAAAAAATACAATAATAATTAATATTATTTGTTAATAAATAAAAACAATTAATAATCGGGTAAAAGAGCCATCGACCTAGGTCTTAAAAATATCTTTTTCAGTAACCGTCAACCTATTAAAATATAGTACAATAATTTAAAAATGTTATTGTAGAAATTATAATAATAAAAGACACAGTCGGGATTTCGATTGTTGGGATTATGGTAGTCGGGATTTCGATATATTCGGGATTTCGATACAGTGGGGATTTTGATTGTCGGGATTATGGTAGTCGGGATTTCGAACGTCGGGCTTTCAATAGACGGTCTTTCGGTTGTCGGGCTTGCGATATAGACCCGACCAGGGAATGTCTCGTGCAATAATGCCATCGTTTCATGTGATGTGTGACAAGTGGTCCCAGTCTATTGGAACCATATGCCCCGTTACCGTTTGCCATTGACTGTTACTACATTTCCAGCATCGTCTTCGAAGAAAAATGGTCCAATGATACCTCCAACCCAAAATCCACGCCAAATAGTGTCATGTTGGGGATGCAAAACTCATCGTTCACTTGTTGTTGCCCAATGAACCAATCGATGCTCTGACAACAGAATTTTTCGATTATTTTCTACACAGCTGATGCACTTGTAACATTTTAATTAAATTATCAGCAAAGCCGAGCAGATGTGTTATTTCAAATATTATTCCCTCATGTCTACTTTATGAAAAAGTTTATTTTTATTGTACTAGTAGAATGCAAAAAAACGGCTTAGTCAATGATTACAACTAAAAAGAAAATGGAATGATTACAAAATCTGAAACAATATATATTTCAATAAGAAAATTATAATAAATATACTAAAGAAATGACAATGAGTCTTAATTTATTAGGACTCTAAATCAGAATTCACTATGCGCATCATCTCAGGGATGTAATTTTATATGAACAGCAAAATTATTTTAATTAAAGTTGAAAGGTTTTTATTTGATTCAATATACAATAATAATTGGTGTAAATATTTTTATTAATTTCTAAAAATTAAACAAAACGTTTGGCTATTTTATATCCAAACAGCTTTAATCATTGTCGTCTACCAAAATGAGTAGACGTGAAGATCACCTGATATTCTCATACACGAAAGTGGATGCAGTTAAGACCACAAAATTATTTCATTCTACTCGATATAATTTCTAATTTACATTGAAAAAATACCTTAAATTACGTTAAATTTTGCATACAACCCGATATTCTTAGTAAATACAATGTGGAACCTCGTTCCAATTATAAAATTTAAATTGGAATTATAAAATGTATCCAATCATTGATCAATTTAATACGATATATTTTGATTATGTAAATAGACAATATTATCAAAATATGTTAAAATTTAAGATCAAAATTAAACATTTGCTTCAAATTAAAATCCTGATAATACTTTAAGTAACAAAAATTTACACTTTATAAATTGCAATTAAATTCCTAATACTATTTTAATTTAAAACAGAGTTTTTATCAATCAGGATTCATGAAAAGAACTATAACCAGTATAAAAAAATCATATAATTAACAAAAGTATATTCAACAAAATAAAAATAAAATTAATTGTTTCCCATTTCAAATACGAAACTTATTGCCTAAAATGAGTTTTCAAGTGATATTTTAGAGCTGGATTGCTTCTGTACTTTTTCTCACACATATCACATTGAAAAGGAAATTGATCTGTAACATTCACATATAAAATATGATTGTGATACAAAAACATAATACTTACCTATATGACACTTAATATGCTTCTTCAAATCAAGTTTTGTATTAAAATCCTGATTGCAAAAATTGCACACAAAACCATAGCCCACATTATGAGTATTTATATGATACTTTAAAGCTGCAGTACTTCTAAACTTTTCATTGCAAATTTTACATTGAAATGGAAACACATCTGAAAGAATAACAAAATTATTAGATAGTAGTGAAAAGAAAGAAATGTGTAACCTTTGTGTGATTTCATGTGTTGCTTCAATGTTATTTTTTCCATAAATTTAACATTGCAAATTGAGCATTTCAGCGCTGTTTGATGATTGTCTCTGTGGTACTTCAATGCTGGTGGACTCCTAAACTTTTCACTGCAAATATCACACTGGAAAGGGAACTCATCTAGAAGAGAAAATGATTTATAAATGCCAACATTTCATTCATAACTATTCAATAACCTTTATGAAACTTTATGTGCTGTTTCAACGACAATCTGTCATCAAATATAGCTTCACAGAAGTTGCATCTCAAATTATGTTCAGAGACGTGAATTTCAATGTGATATTTCAGTGCAGAAGAGCTTCTAAACTTTTTACCACATAGCTCACAAACATATGGAAATTGATCTTAAATAATCAATTGAGTAAAAACATATAATATAAAATTGTTAAATATTAACCTTGGTGTATTCTTATGTGTTGCTTCAATAAAAGCCTCTCTGGAAATGTTGCCCCGCAAAAGCTGCACTTGTTATCTTTGCTATCCACATGAACATTGATATGGTATCGTAAAGCAGGAGCACTCTTAAACTTTTCTCCACATAATATACATTCATGTATATATTCAGCTACAATTGTAACAAATTAAACTAAATCAAAATATTGTATGTACCATACCCATATGAACTTTCATATGTTTTTTCAGATGTGAATCGCTATTGAAGATACTATTGCAATAGGCACATTTATAGTTATCTTCGTAAGTCTGTCCATGCTTAACCAGAGTTTCTCTAGAAGCAAGTTCTGTGTAATGTTTACTATTATAACCTTCAACTGAGAGATCTAAAAACTTAAATACAGTAAATAAGATCTAGAAATACCTTTAAACAGCAAATCTATACTTTTCCCATAGTTCAACGCATTTGTTTCTGCTTGTGAAACTCCACAAGTATTACTTCGTTCCTTTCCCATTTTTTTTTAAATGAATCAACATCCGCCATAATGCTTACCACAAGTGCTGCCATCTTCATTTCTCTACAGCTAACAAGAAGGATCATATAAGTAAAATTAATTACTTTTCCAACAATATTATTTTTATTTATGCAACCAATATAACAAAACAAAGGAAACGCACAGATACTTTAAAATATACTTTATGTAATTCTACAATGCGGATACAATTTTGCAAATGGTTTTGCAGAGCAGCAAAATAAATCCACTAACTATTTGGAATCGTTTTCTTATCATTAATGAGTGTCATTCGTGGAGGAAGTAGTCAAATACTCCATGTATAACAAGTAGAAAAAAATAACAGATAAATCACAGCACAAACTCTAACAAAAATATTCTGTAAAATTTTATTGGAAACTAAGGCCTCCAGAGGGTGCCTGCTGTGTGGGGTCCTCAAAGACTGGAGGTTGTGGCTGAAATTGCTCAGCAGATAGACGGGTGAATAAAATACCAACACCTTCAATTAAAGCTAATAGGACGCCACCAATGAACGCACTGCCAGCCATTGCAGAGACACCATTTCTTGCTGCCAGAATACCACCAGTTGCTGCTCCACTGATAATAGAGTTCCATGGATCTTCCTTCTTGCGGACATGTATCAAAGCACAATCAATGGTAGAGAACAAACCACCCCAAACAGCAAAGTTGCCAGCAATTGTTGGGGACCTTTGTTTAATGGCTGTCATTGATCCAATCTAAAATTCAACTGTTAATTGCTGTTTCTGCATTGGTTGTTTGAGAATATTCACTAATCGTCTGTTGAATCCTGATGGGGCATTACGGAAACCTTTGATGCTTTGGAAGACACCTCCACCAATTAAACCCATGGTGAATGCACCTCCGCAATCGTCAACGATACGCCAAGGGCAAGGTTCTCTTGTGTATTCTTCCATTATGCAAGCCCCACAATCTTAACCTACAAATTATTGTTGTATAATTATTTCGTATCTTAGAGCTAAACTGAAACGATTTATTTGAAAGCTGATACAAAATACTTACTATAATCCTGACTTAAGAATAATTTCCTTTCCTATATGAAAATTGCACCCGAATTTATCTCTTTTATTTCTTGACACTCATGTCACAGGATTATGAAAGAAGCACGCATGTTTGAACTTTGACAAATTTTGTCAAAATAAATTAAACAAAAAGTAGTTTTAGTTTAATTTTAGCTTAAAATCAACAAATAATTTCTAATCCAGCGATTGTTGTAATTAGAAATAATAGGATAGATGTTTGGGGTGCAGTGCGCGGGAAATTTGAATTCTACTGCGACTCCGGCTAAAAATATACTGTAAAGATCATCTGCATTCTAATTATATTTTTAGTTTTAGTACGATTTAACACGCTTCAACACAGTTTGAATTCTATATTTGGGAATTTGTCCAGTGCTCGGCTTATAGTGACGGCAGTAAACCGAAGATCCTAAGGTGAAGCGCAGTTTTCATCCGCAAAAGAAGCTTAATTTACGTAGAAAGAATTGCATTAATTGTTAAAATGGAAGGAGCCGGTCAAATTGAAGCAAGTTTAGCGGTAAGTACTTAGAGTGATCTTTCTATTTGAGGCGTAGAATTAATGGAACAAATGCTTAGGCTAAGATCCAAGAATGCGAAGAGTTGAAAGCGCTTAACAGCAAATTGGAATCAGAGCTTGCCGAGGCCAACAAGAAGGCGGTGCAGCACAACTCCGAGACCAACGAGGTGCATAAAATGAAAATACACAGCGAGGAGATCCTAACTAAAGCTAAGGCCATGATCTTCGAGAAGACAAAGATCTGCAAGAACCAAGAGTTGCAGATCGAAGCTCTGAATGCGCAGGTGGCGTCTATGCGTGATGTCGTTTCGATCACGAAGAACATGCTGGAAATCAGGAGTATCGAAGTCAAGCATTTACAGGATCAAATTGATTGCATGAATGCCAAGGTGGACGCTGAGAAGGAACGTCAAACATTGGTTCACCAGAAGTTGGAGAACATGATCAGGATGAATGCGGATTTGAAGCGAGAATATGAGACACAGCTGTGTCTTTTCAACGCTTTGAGGGAAAGATATAGCGAAAGAGAACTGGCGAAAGACGTCTTGAACGACGCTCGTACTGCTATAACTCCGGAAACAACGGTCACCTCCGAGACATCCACGACACCGGAAGCTTCAACTAGCGACAAGAAAGAAGAATAAAGAATTTTAAAATTAGCTTAAGCGAATTGGATTTTATATTGATAGATTTTAAAGCATTAAAATACGAAACGCATAATCATTTTACAAGTTATTATTATCTTCAGATTTTCCTTCAAATGAAAAGAGTAACACGCGAAGTAAAATGAAAAACTCATGTGGCAAAGAAAAAAACTTATACACTTCTAGTGTATATCACTTGGGAACGTAAATAAACATAGTCATATAATTATAACGACGTTCTGATAAGTTAATATATTCCTGTTGAATTCTAGTCTAGTCTAATTCTGGTAAATTTAAAGTTACTGAAAAGTCAACACAATTCTTGTTATTTATATCACATATATTTATAAAACATGGACCGTTGGCCTATATATTTTGGGAAAGTAAGTATATTTTCTATATAAATAAAATGTAAAAAAAGCGAATACATGTAAATGTATCTTGAATGGACAAAATCAGAATCTGAAATTATGTCCTACTGTTTATTATAGAATAAACATATTTTTCATAGAATAATAATAATTTAAAACATAAGAAACATTAGCAAATAACAATAAAAACATAGATATAACAACAAGAAATAGATATTTTAAATTAGAATTCAAGCATTATTAATATTTTAATATTCTCAAATTATTTACAATTATGAAATTGTCATTATTAATGGAGGTTCTCTGAAAATGTGTATGAAACTGATATTATTCAAAATGCATTTTTTCTAGTAAAATGGTTGAAAAAAATCATAAATATTATCCACATTGAGCCATAAATATTTACATTTCTAAACAAATACGTTTCTAATTAATTTAACAGTTTCAGTTCGTTCTAATGGAACAATATAAAGGCTACAAGGAGGGGTTAGAAATGTGCGTCTACGAAAGCGGGGGCGTCAGGACGCCGGTCCAAATTTCTAGCAGGACCGCAGGACTTGCAATAAGTATGGAGCGCGACGATATCGAGCGGAGGGAGCAACCCTCATATTTTGAAGCGACCGACATTCTCCCTTATGCCTAGGGTTGATAGAAAGTGCAGGGAAAGTTCGTGATCGGGAGCACATGAAGTTGAGATGGTTTTTGACGCCACATACGGATAAATGGTTTTGGTGGAAAAGCAGAACTTTTCCGCTTAAATGTTTCAATTTTAAGCGTTTTAGGGAAAGCGCGCTACCGTGAAAACAGAACTCGCAGGAGGCATCTGCGAGCTTTTCCCGACCGTTTAGTTACAAATTACCCCGCGCATCCACATTATCCGTATCAGCGGTAGTCATTAAAGTAAACACGTTAATGGAGGAAAACCCATTTTCCGCATTGCCGACGAGGATCCATTGCAATGCAGTATTAAGCGTTTTAGGGAAACTGCGCTACCAAGATAGTAGAAAATGTAGGAGGAAACGCAGGAAAATCCAGCTTTCGTCCTCAATTTATGGATTATTAAAAATAGCAATAATTAAATATATCCAAAGCTCTAATATCTCCATACAACAAAAAATAACGTTAAATGCACAATGTATGTTGTTTTAAACGGTAAATTCAGCTCAAAATCATTTAAATTGGCTTGCTTCAAAATTAAGCGTTTGGGGGAAACACAAGTACTAAGTGAGCAGGATTTTCAGGAGATATTTCTGAAACGAACGCGCTATTAACAATTAATTTAACATATAGTTAGGGGAGAACGGAAAATAAGATTCCGTCGAATTGTATTTGATACACCATTTGTCAATTGATCGCAATCAGTAATTTACGAAAATTGTTGGATATGGTAGGTATATCTGCTGAAACTCGAGCTTTCCACCGTTTTAGTTTTAAGCGTTTGGGGGAAACGAAAATACCAAGCCAACAGAATATACAGGAGGGAGAATGTCTGGTTACACAGTTTTCCGCGTGAAAATCGTATTGCCCCTTCCATCCACCCAAGCAGCAGTATTGAACGGTTTGGAATCACAATCTGAAGGACGCTCTTATTATCAATTTATTTTATGAATGAATATATAATTACGTAAACTAATCTTTATTTAAATAATTCATTTCTATAATAATAACAATCTTTAGTGCTTTAATTAAAAAAAAATACTTTCATTCTTCTATTAACTAATAAGATACTTTCCACGAAATTACTTTATCAGTAAAACTTCGTTTTCAGAAGTGAACAATTTATGAAACTTTTATCCAACATAGAAAATATTTAGGTAATAAACAGTCAAATTACATAGAAAATGAAATTATAAAATATGAGTCGAAAGTTGATTGTTTCTGCTGGTTTTCTCTTTCATTTAACAATTTCCTAGACGATATTATTGTTTTTAACACTGATCGATAACGATAACACTTCTTCCTAAATCAAAACATTTTCACTAAAAAATATGAAGAGCGCTTTTTTAAATCTTTACCTGTTAACATTTTTAAACTTCATTAACATTGTCTTCATTTTATTTATTTTTGTTGCGAACAGATTTTCTAAATCTTACACCAAATCTTCTGCGTTCATTATTTTTTTAACATCTTAATTAACATTTTATTGTATCAAGCTTCATTTAAACATTTTTTTTAGTAACTAGTATCCAAGTGCAATTACTGTTTACGAACAATTACAGATTTTGTTATATTACAGTTTTGTTATCATAAATAAAGTTAAACGAAAAATATATATATTTCTGCCCACAGATTATTTTATGGTTAAAATAGTAAACAAACTGTAGTTTTTGATTTAAAATAATCTTTCTACATGGCGAAAAAATAAGACAGAACATTAATTTAGAATAAAGAATCAAGAAATCGAAGACAACAATTATAGTGAAACTTAAGAAAATATCAAAATATATATAAATAAATAAACCAAAGAATTATGATTTATCCTAATTTGGGGCTAAGGATTCCTGTGATTATTATCCTTATTTTTATTTACATTATACACAGTGGCAGAACTATAATTCCGCCGAATCTTGCATTACTAAATGTAATACTAAAAGTAACTGTTCTCTAGGGTCCACGACTTTATTAATATTTTTCTATTTCAAATCAAGGAGGACCTCAAATAAAAAAAAATACCAGAAGCCATCTAATTTGTCTAAGTACTTCCAATTTGCATAGGCTTTATGAAAAATCCCAATCCATTTAGGGGCCCAAATAATGTTTTGCAGAGGGAGGGGGTGTGGACAATGATTTGAAGTTCCACAACTTATTATACATATTCAAATTACGATTAAATTAAACAAATCCATGAATAAAAAAAACAGTACTAGAGAATATTTATATAAATATAATTTAATGCATTCATAGTAAAAATTATTTATTTTTGTATTACACTTTTTTTAAATTTGTTGGTAAAAGGATATATATTTTTAGTATATAGAAGTTTAATAGTTTTATTGAAGATTTTTAATTAATTTATTTGGGTGAAGCTCTTATACTTTTTATTTATTAATTTTATTTTCATAAATAAAATAGTATGAAATAAAATTTATGCAGCATTATTCATTAATTTTGGGCAGAAAGATCCTTTGTGCATAATTGTGTCCAATAACGATTTTTAATAATAAATTGAATAATAATAATAATTTATTGGCCAGACATCAATACAAAAAAAGTACATTAAATAAATTATAATAATAAAAACTAAATGATAATAACAGCTCACTAAATAAATAAATTCTAACATAAATATAATTATGGAACAATAATAATATATACATATGAAAACTAGAAGAATGAGGAAAAAGCAGTGAAGTAAAAACAAGACGGTATCAATCGAGGGACATTGGGTATTGGAACAGTGATAATATGGGATATTTAATTTGGGAAGGATATTTGGGTTTTGAAGGGCCCAGAATTTAGAGAGGAAGACGATGTTGGACTGTTTAGATTAGTCATAATATTTTTAAAATCATCCGTCTATATAATTAAATCCTATCAGCAAATATAATAAATTAAGTTCACGTCCCAACTAATGTTATTTTCTAAATATTATTATAATCATAACAAAAATATCATACTTCAAATTCTTATGAATTAAACGTAGTTGATTTACTACACGCTTTTGTTCTGCGCGTATTTGTACGGCGTCCTCGTAGTCACGAGACAACATAAGAAATATAGTAGTCTTAATTAGTTAATAAAAACAATTTACAAAATTTGCAATTGAAGTAACTTTTTTAGCCTTAATATTATCATAAATCCCATATGTTCATCATCAAATTACAAAGAAAATCTTTTCCATAAAATATGCAGACATAATTTCAAAGAAGAAAGAAAGTTTTAGAAATATATCCCATTTATTTGTAATTATTATATAATATAAAAAAAGCTTGTGAGTTTTCTAAAAATATCTGGATATTTCTACTCTGAATTGTTTTAACAAATAATTGTACTCTTTTTATTGACTATAGTATGGTAAGTTAAATAAATATATATATGAAGTTAATTTATTATATGAAATAATTAAAATTTTTACATTCAATAATTAATTAATCCATATGTATAATAATGTAAATTTAATTATTACTTATTAAAATAATTTATATTATATCAATAAGATTAATTAGATTGTCTGCGTACAGAACAGAAATATTTAATTTCGTTTTTTGTAAGTGTTTTGAACAGTAAGCGGTTTGGGGGAAGCAAAGGCACCAAGACAACAGAATGTAGAGTAGGTGGTTACACATTCTCAAACGTTCTCTAACAAACAAAATGGTCGGTGTAGCAGCATTAAATGTATTTATTATTAATGATGATTCACTTTGAGCTAACAACATTAATAGAGAATGGATTTCGTCAGTCAATTCGAAGTTAAGCGTTTCTGGGAAGCAGAACTACCAAGAAAGCAGAACATCGAAGAGGAGGAATCTTGCTGCTGCTATCATTTAAAAGGCATTTAACAAATAAAGTGAGTTCATAGTGCTTAGGTAAATTTAATTGTTGTAGGCACCGGCGCATCCACCGTACAAAATACCTATTAAAAACCAATCATCCTGGATGATTACCATTGAATGGAGGAATGGAACTGAAATTCTCGCTTAAGCGTTTCTGGGTTAGACGGCTACCAAGATGCCAGCTTCTTGAGGAGAAATGCCCAAGACCTGAA